TTTCTACGGGGGGGGGGGGGGGATCACACCAAGTCATAAATTATAACCGGGAAAATTATTACCTTTGCCCCGACCCAAGACCCCTGTTACGCGCCTGCTTATAAGTGGGGCCCCCCCACTTTGAAAAACGTTCCGCCGGCCCTGTATATGTACATAATAAGTATGTTACAGGTGCGAATACAGACTTTTATAAACGTGCCAGCACCAATTACATACAAGGTCTAGATAGGAGAAGTATGATTCGTTTTTACCATTGTGTTGAGAAATATTGTAACATATAGTATTTGTATGTATTTTCATTTTATTTCTGTTAAAATAGACGACAGTGACAAAACAGACCCACCATGCGTCTCCATAAATCTGCCCCTGTTTTACATGCTGTAAATGAATTAATTAATACGTATATAAGCATAAATATGTTGCATTTGAATAGATGGCCAGTGGATAAATGGATGGCCTATGAATGAATGGGTGAGTTGTCCATAGATAGGTGGGTGGGATGAACAGGATGATATGCCAGTGGGGAGCCCCCCCCCCTCCCAATCGATGAGAAAAACCCAAATTTGTCAAGGAGGAAAAAATATATGTACATAATAGTGGACTCTAAAATCGATTAAATAAGCCTTTGAAACCTCTAAATTTTCATCAAGAGATTTTGAGTGACGATTTTTTCGTCGGGACGCTAGTCCCCTATCGGGCAAATCCTGGCGCCACCCCTGGATGAATAAATGAACGACGAAACAAAGGAACGGAAAAGTATGGATGGATGGATGGACGGATTGATGGATAGACTATGTCAGGAGGACGAACTTGCAGACCTTTAGACTGGTCCACTTACAAATGGCTGTAAGTGGATTACGATGGAATGTTGGACCAATCCATTATATTATGATTAAAAAAGAATTAAATAAGCACAAAAATACATACAGTTTAAGATTTTGTACATTGTCTTTACATTTTTTATTGCAGCAAGGTCATCGGCATCAACTGTGCATGGACAAGCGGGATTCAGTGCTGCAATTCCAAAGGTGAAGCAAATAATATGCATAAGGAGTAAATCCTTGCCAAGCCACTAGGGCTCATTATTAGGGTTGGAGCTTATCCCAAGCTTCTGTAGCATGAAGCTGAGGAGAGTTCTAATGCTCCCCCTGGGTAGGATGCCAGTCCACTGCAGGTTACTCGCAGCAGTTTGCTGGTACCCATTGATAAAGCTGGGTAGGCTGAAGCATATGTAGATAAAATGCCTTGCTCAAGGTCACAAGCGAAATCCTTATATACATGCACTGTACTGTAACACAAATGTTTCATGCTTGTCAGGCTACACTTTTTGAATCAAATTTAATCCCTGAACCAAAGTTCTTTTAAGGTGTCATATTTATTTATAGGGCTGCAGGGGCGGATCCAGGATTTGAAAGAGGGGGTTTCAAAATCTGTCCCGAAAATTTTAATTCCTAGATGGCCTGAAAGATGGTCATTAAAAGACACCTCAGTCGGGAAAGCTTATTTCAGGCCATCTAGAAAATGTTGATTCCTAGATATTTATGGCTTGAAATGAGCTTTCCCGACTTCTGAGGTGTCTTTTAATGACCTTTAATTTCTTCAAAATTCAAGGTTTTACCCCTCTTAAAAAATAGGTCAGGTGATTTTATCTCATTCTTAGGCCTATACCATAGAAGAAAATCAAAGATACAGTCATTACAGTATTAGGCCTATATTCCAACAATATTGCAGTGGCGGATGAGGGGGTGAATAGGGTGGCTAGCCACCCCCCTTCAGTGACTGTAAAAAAAACGGTCACTCGTCTTGTGTATGTGCTTCTCAAGTATACATGTATACCCTCGTAAAACATACACTTTATATTTTAAGCTTAACTTCTTTTCAGATGTCATCCAAGAGCGTCTAGACGTCTACTAATTCCAAAAAAAATCTCAAAGGGAAGCGGACACCCCCTCCAAACATCCATTAATCAAGGGGACAGGGAATACGTACCCAAATATATTTAAGAGGGTGGGGGATTGGTCCCCTCACTTTTTGTCCGCGATGTAATAATTTCATAAGTCAAGAAGATGCCGGTACAGCCGATATTCTATCTCTGCCCACAAACATCTGATTTACTACTACTACTACTACTACTACTACTACTACTACTACTACTACTAATAATAATAATAATAATAATAATTTATAATAATAATAATAATATAGGGCCTATAATAATATTAATAATTATGATTAAATTATTATTATTAATAACAATAATAATAATAATAATAATAATTATTATTATTATTATATAATAGTAATAATATTAATAATTATGATTAAATTATTATTATTAATAACAATAATAATAATAATAATAATTATTATTATTATTATTATTATTATTATATAATAGTAATAATAATAAGAAGATTAGTTTTAGGCACAGTAAATGTAAATTAAAAATACATCAAAGACAATTGAGTTTAATTTTTAATGGAACATCACAGCGATTAATTAGATGATGATGAATTTTAGAGGTATTTCCCCAAATGTTCCCACCTCAGCCCTTAGGACTAGGCTGTGAAGTAGGTAGGCCAAAAGTGAATACATCAAAGACAATGTTTTTAAGTTTTATTTTCTAAGTACATCACAATAATTAGATTTGGTTGCTGCAAATCGCTGGTAAAACGTCATTTGACTAAATAAAGGTGATATGGTGATGATTTTTACTATATAGAGTGTCACTTCCGATCATCTACAGCTAACTATTTCCTAAAGTATTCGAACCTCGGGCCCAATCATGGTGAGCCTGAGGTGGGTGTGGACTCACAAAATGTCCCCTTCACCTTTAGAAACAGATCGGCGCCTTTGCCAAAACCACACCTCCCCCACCCCCCGCTTGGTGCTCGCAAATCACATTATCCACCCCCATTGCTAAGTCCTAGATCTCCCGCTGTATTGAGTAGTTGTTTTTGTAGTATTCTTTCTTATAGATCGATGAACCGGGATTGAAGAAAACATTTTCGTACATAAATTATTACGACGTCGAGCCAAAAACAGTTATTAATTGTATTTAATTGAATGCTAGTTGGGCTAAGCCAGGGGCGTACCGTGGGGGGGGGGGTCGATGGGTGCGGTCGACCCCCCTTTTAAAGAAAGTGCCCTTTAAATATGATTTTTTTTTAAATCTAGCATGAAATTGAAAAGAAAACGTTAAGAAATAAACGCATACAAAATGTTACTTTAAGTAATTATAATATAATTACTTAAAGTAACATTTTGTATGCGTTTATTT